CTAATAAGAGACAATCAAATCACTGCCCCTTGATATTCAATGGTGTTACCATTACTGAATCCCCCACTACCAACATCTTTGAGGTTACCATTGAGCAGAAATTCAACTGGACTCATGATGTAAACACTGTGTCTACAAGTCCAGTCCAGAAACTCAAGTGGACTTGTCATATAAATGCAGTGGCTACAAGAACAGGTCAGAGGCTAGGAATACTGTGGCAAATAACTCACCTCCTAACTCCCCAAAGCATGTCCATGATCTGCAAGACACAATTCAGGAGTGTGATGTAATAATTCCCACTTTCCTGGAATGGTGCAGCTCCAGCAACACTCGAGAAGCTGTACACTATCCAGGAAAAAGCAGCCTGCTTGACTGGCCCCACACCCGTAATTATCTATTCCCTCCACCACTGCTGCTCAGTAGCAGCAGTGTGTGTACTATCTACAAGATGCATTTTAGAAATTCACCCAGAATACTTTGACAGCACTTTCCAATCACACAACCACTTCCATCTAAAGGGACAAGGGCAGAAAATACATGGAAACACCACCACGTGCAAATTCCCCTCCAAACCACTCACCATCCTGACTTGGAAAATATCCCTGTTCTTTCACTGTTGTTGGGTCAAAATGTTGGGATTCCCTCCTTCATGGCATTGTTGTCAACCTACTGCATGTGGACTGTAGCAGCTGACGAATGCAGCTCACCATTACCTTCTCAAGGGCCAATAAGGATGGACATTAAATAATGGCCAGGCAGCGATGCCCACATCCCGTGAATGTATTTTAAAAAACCTCTGGAATTCAGCTCTTTTGTCCATGTTTGAACAAAAGTTGTAATGAGGTCAGGAGCTGAGTGACCCCGGTGGAACCCAAACTGAGCGTCAGAATATACAGAAATTTGATACTTCTGTGTCCAACTGGCTCTACGTTGATGTTTCTCCTCAGGTGCTGTCTCCACCTGGAGGCTTCACTTGATTTAGAATACCTGGTAAGGGGCATTATCAGATGACTTGCAAGAGATATATGGCCTCACTCCAATAACTGTTCACTATTTACACTTCTCAATAATCTGTACCTCCCACAACTTTTCTCTATTAAAGTCCTCAGTAATCTTAAACTCCAATTTCTGATGTCCATTAATATTGCTCATTTACCTCCAACTCCAAATAAATGGCAGAAATGGTCATATCCAAATCATTTATTGAAGGACATACAAACACAATTACACATTAATGATATTATTATTATATCACGTGATATGCTTATACCAGTCCAAGTTCCCAAAAGGACAAAGGGTTCCAGTAATATTACAGCATGAAATGATCTTCTCTCTTTAGTTGATCTGTGGTGAAGTTTGCCTTACAGCACACCCAAAGATCTCACTGACATGGCAATGTGCATACCAGTGGTGCAGCAAGCAATGCCAGTGAGATAATCCTCCTGAAAATGCCAGTGACATCAGAAAGATCTGATGGTGGGGATATTGTTGGAGTCTATAATAAAGGACAGGGTAACTGATCACCTCGAAAAATTTCAGTTAACTAGGGAGAGTCAGCGTGGATTCATGAAGGGTGGGTCATGCCTGACAAACCTCATTAAGTCGCGGTGGCTCAGTGGTTAGCACTGTTACCTCAGAGCACCAGGGACCCGGGTTTGATTCCAGCCTTGGGTGACTGTCTGTGTGGAGTTTGCACATTCTCCCTGTGTCTGCGTGGATTTCCTCCAGGTGCTCCAGTTTCCTCCCACAGTCCAAAGATGTGCAGTTGAGGTGGATTGGCCGTGTTAAATTGCCCGTAGTGTTCAGGGATGTGCAGATTAGGTGGGTTATAGGGGTATGGGTCTGGGTGGGATGCTACAAGGGTCAGTGTGGACTTGTTGGGCTGAAGGGCGTTTCCACACTGTAGGGATTCTAGGATTCTATGAACTGTTTTGAAGAGGTGTCAAAGGTAGTGGACAGATGTAAGTCAATGAATGTTATTTATATTGACTTCCGGAAGGCTTTTGATAAAGTCCCACACAGGGAACTGTTAACTAAGGTGGAAGCCCACAGAATTGAGGGAAAATTGTAGACATGGATAGGAAATTGATTGAGTGGCAGGAAATAGAGAGTTGGAATAATGGGTAAGTACACAAACTGGCAGGACATGCCTGGTGATGTCTCACAGGAATGTGTTGGGGTCTCATTTATTCACAATATTCATTAATGACTTGGATAATGGCATATAAAGCCAAATATCCAAATTTGCTGATGACACAAAATTCGGCAACATTATAAAGAGTGTTGACAACAGCACAAAATTACAACAAGATATTGGTAGGTCAGGTGAATTGGCAAAGCTGTAGCAGATGGATTTTAATATAAGAAACTGTGAGGTTATCCATTTGGACTGAAAAAGGATCGGTCAGGGTATTTTTTTAAGAAGGCACAAAGTTAAATAGAATGGATGTCCGATGAGATTTGGGGGTTCAGGTGCATAGCTCTTTAAAATGCCACAAATAGAAAATAATCAAGACGACTAACGGAATGCTGGCCTTCGTATCTAAAGAGCTGAAATATAAGGATGCAGACATTATGCTGCAGTTATTACGAAACCGTAGTTAAACCCCACTTGGAGTACTGTGACCAGATCTGGGCACCACATCTTAGGAAAGATGTTTTGACCCTGGAGGGTGTTCAACACAGGTCTTTAAGGATGATACCTAGACTTCAGGGGTTGTTATGAGGAGAGATTAGCCAAAACGAGGCCTTTATTCTCTAGAATTTAAGAGGTTAAGGGTGATCGAACTGAGGTCTTCAGGATATTAACTGGGAAAGACAAGTAGATAAACTATGTTCCACTGGTTGAAGATCTTAGAACCAGGGGGATAGTCTAAGAATTAGGGTTAGGCTATTCAGGAGAGATGTTAGAAAGCACTCGACACGCAAACAGTAGTGGAGATTTTAGAAATCTCTTCCTCAAACGGCAGTCAATGCTGGTTCAACTGTTAAATGTTAATCTGAGATAGATATTTTTCATTAAGCAATGGAATCAAGGGATATAGGCCCAAGGCAGGCAGATGGAGTTAGGCCACAGTTTAGCAACAATTTTATTGAATGGCGGAGCAGGCTCCAAAGGCTGGTAGAGTTGACCCCCGAACTTACAAACTGAAACAGTTTAGGGGTGGCATCGTGGCTCAGTGGTTAGCACTGCTGCCTGACAGCACCAGGGTCCCAGGTCCAAATGTGAAGATTTACCAGGTTTCTATTATAGGGAGAAGCAGGATAGGCTGGGACTTTTTACACTGGAGCATAGGATGTTGAGGGGTGACTGTATAGAGGTTTATAAAATCATGAGGGTTACAGATAAGGTGAAAAGCAGGTGTCTTTTCCCTAGGGTAGGGGAGTTCAAAACTAGGGGGCACATTTTTAAGGTAAGAGGAGAAAGATTTAAAAAAGATGTGAGGTGGATAATTTTTTTTTAAACACAGAGTGGTTCGTATGTGGAATGAACTCCTGGAGGAAGTGGTGGATGGCAGGTACAGTTACAACATTTAAAAGACATTTGGATAAGTACATGAATAAGAAATGCTTGGAGCCACATGAGCCAAGCACAGGCAGGTGGGACTAGTTTAGTTTGGGATTATGGTCGGCATGGATTGATTGGACCGTTGGGTCTGTTTCCATGGTGTATGAGTGTGACTGTATGTGTGGAGTTTGCTTGTTCTCTACCTGTCTGCATGGCATTCCTCCAGGAGCTCCAGTTTCCTCTCACAGTCCAAAGATTTGTGGGTTACATATATTGGCCAAGGTAAATGTGAGGTTACGGTAATAGGTTGGGGTTGGGGGTGGGGGCGGGGGGAACTGCTGGGTCTGAGCGGGATGTTCTTCAGAAAATCAGTGTAGATTCAATGGGCCAAATGGCCTCTATCTACGCTGTAGGGATCCTATGATTCTTAAAACAAAATGAATTGCAGAACTAAGCCAAACTTGAAAATGGTAAAACAAACAAACAGACAATTGTCCAATGTAGTTTGGAGAGAGGTTTGTGAGGTTGAATCATAGATGCCTACATGTGAGCAACTGGGGGCATGTTACAGAGCTGTTTGTCTTCATAATTGAAATGAACATTATGGTTATGTGTATTACAGTGTACAGTTGGCAAAACACACAAGTCAGTCTACATTTATGGAAAAACTAACAAGCTGCAGTTGCTGGAAATCTGAAACAAGAAAAAGATATGTCTGGAAAGATTCAATCTCTGTACAGTGATCAAGGCAGTTAAGACATCAGACTCCTCACTAGAACTGGAAGTTATTACCAACATATAACATTTAAATAGGAGTAAGATAAAGGGAAGGGGAAAGATAAATACATCCACACACACACATGCAACACACATGCACACACAACACATGCACGCATAATTACACAGATACGCAGACACAACACACACACACACATGACAGATTCACATCTGATGGGTTTTTTTTCATTTCACAGTGAATCTTTGTGAATTCTACAATGCTTGAAAATTCTAGCTGGGAGATGTTTCTCCAGCCATGGGATGGTTCTACACGACACAACACACTCAGTCAATATTCAACGTCATTATTATTGTGATGACCAAAACATTGGACAGCTGATAAGCGGCTTGCTGTTTAAGTTCTTGTTGTGATGTACCGGGCCACATTGACATTACATCTTCCTTTCTGACAGCCTGTAAGATTTTTGTACCAAAGTCAATATCTGTTTCTTTTCTTAAAGGAGTTGATGTGACCAGCCAATGTAGGAAGAAGTTTCATCAGCTTCACTGTCCAATCATACCCAAGCTGAAGTTCATGAGACATAACATTCACTCTTGGACAATGTACGGGATTTATAAACATACTTTGCTGGAATAGGCTTTCAAATAAATGGCAATGCATTTGGCCTCGGGGTATAACGACTGGCTGAAGCCCAAACTCGTTTTAGAACCCGTGTTTACTGGACACAAACTCAAACCTCTCACTGACAAAAAATCACCTCTGGCAGTAGCCCTGTGGACCAGTTTCCCTCTGCACTGTGGGCCAGTGACCATCTTCATCCTCCTCCGAGTGGGTGATCGCATCCTCTGGCGCCATCTCTTGGTCACTGGGCTGTCCTTCTATGTACTCCTGGATGGTGGGCAGTGCCCCCTGCAGGCTGCAGCGCCGACGTAGCCCCACCAAGAGAGGCTGGGGCATGGAGCAGATGTCTGCGTTGTTCCCCAGGTCAATCCAGGACAGTGCCGGATACTTGTTTGGCTTCTTCATCATCTCGGTCATTTCATTGACAACGAGCCGGGTCAGTCGGTTCCCATTCAGCGCCAGGTTGGTTAGTTTCGGAAGTGCTGCCAGCAAGGGCAACAGAAGCCGTAGGCCATCGTCTGCCAACTCAGTAAAGCTCAAATCGATGGATGTCAAATGGTCTCTGTTCAGCTGCAAGTAGTATGCCACACGGTGAATGTCCCTGGGAGAGAGCGGCATTCCCGATAGATCCAGGGAGTCATTGGTGGGATTTTTCTGCAATGCAGCTTTTACACTAAAGGGAAAAATAAACAGTAGATTATTTGAATCAATGTTCCTTGTTACATACTTGTTATTTCTAACCCTTGTCATGGACCAGACCAAACCCCCTTCAGATATATCAAGATGATAGCTAGATGCTAAATTTTATCTTGTTTAAAGTCAATTGTAAGGAGTTGTGTTCCAGATGTAACTTGATTGTGGGTAGCACAGCACCAGGAAGCCAGGTTTGATTCCATCCCAACGCAAGTGTCTGTGTGGAGTTTGCACATTCTCCCCGTCTCTTGCGTGGTTTCCTCTGGGTATTCCAGTTTCCACCACAGTTCAAAGATGTACAGACTACATGGATTGGCCTTGCTAAATTGCCCAGTGTCCAGGGATGTGCAGGTTAGGTGCACTAGCCATAGAAAATGCAGGGTTACAGGGATAGGGTAGGGAGGTAGGTCGGACTTAATAGGCTGAATGGTCTGCTTCCACACTGTAGAGATTCTATGATTGGTCTTGCTCCTTGGCTTTAAGCAAAACACACTTTATTATTACACCCAGTTAAAATACAAACAAAAAGAAAAATTGGTATAACTAACTATTGAAAAAAAACAACAGAATAATAGATTATCTAACTACTAAACAGCAACTATTTCAATATAGTAACATCCAATAAACACAACCTTGGCAAAGGCAAATTCAGTAAAATAGATGGTCTCACATGTGTCTAGTCCAGGAGAAAAGAACACCGAGAGAAAATTCTGGCAGAGAGAGTGAAGTCAAGTGTTTTGCTGACAAAGTGAGAAATGTACAGCAGCTTCAAAACCTCAACAACTACTGAAAGCTAAACTAAAGCCCTGGTTCTGTTGGAGCCTCACTCCACCCATTTATGCTGCATCTATTATTCTATCTTAAAACAAAACAGGGCCTCACAAGCTGTTTACTGGTTTCGAAGAGACAACTATTTGGCACCTCTCTCCAACCTCTCTTAATGATTAAAAAAGGACAAAATACACCTCCTAAAGCCATGGTATCGTCCCACCTTGACCTGCAGACACTCACCAAGAAATCAATTGTAGTTCGTCCACCAACTATCAGGAGATCAGTGGGTTGAATGAATAAAAAAGCAGGAATCCCTTATGGTGAGGCTATATTGATGAGCTGATCAGTATGTGCAGCATTCATATTAAAACCATAAGAAATAGGAACAGAAGTAGGCCGTTCGGCCCCTCAGGTCCATTCCTGCAATTCAACTGGATTCAACCGCATGGAAGGGCATGTCCTAGAAATTATCCCTACCTCCAACACATTGGTCAATCCGGATATGGTGGGGGGGGAAGAGGATGTCGGAAGGGACAGTACTGTGTATCAACTACAGAATCAAAAGCTCCAAACACACAATCCAATTTCTGCTTCACCTTTCACCTGGCAGTTACTATATTTTGACTTGATTTATTTATTGTCACATCTATCTTGTTACAAAATACAGTGAAAAGTATTGTATAGTATTGCCACTCTCTGGCGCCATCTTAAAACACAGAAAAATAAACCAAAACACAGAATATAAAGGCGGAAAAATGAAGAAATAAACAGAGAGTCCACTTTCCAGTCCTTCTTCTTAAGTGCTCCATCAGGGCCGTCAGCCTGGTGGCCAGGCACAAAGTGCCCTACACAATGCCACAGCTGGAATGAACATTGCCATTCTTCGGCGCCATCTTGGTTAGATACTTGATGACAAAACCGGAATTAAAAAAGCAGAATAAATGAAGCAAAGCCAAAAGGAATGAGAAATGTCCAAATATTAAAGTCTTATTTAAGTCTTATCTCTTTGCAGGTACCGAGACCAAACCACAGCTTGGCGTATCCGGGAGGAGCTGAGTGCTTGCAGGCGCTGACGTTACTGCCTCCAGCCTCCTGCTGCTATGGCCGCCACCTCTGACTCTATAACTACTGGTGCCGCAACTGGGTCCTGGAGCGTGCTCTGGCTTGGAAGATGCACATTCAACAACAAGAGCTGGAAGTGCTCAAGGTATCTGACACGACTACCCCACAGACTAGCAGAAAGTGGAAGCAGCCCCCATCCCACACTTCAGTCAGTAATTGAGGGAAGTTAGATAAAGGATAGGGCAGACTGTCAAGTACTACCACCAAGGGAAAAAAAGAAACTAGACATTCTTGAAGGAGATAGAGAACAGGAATTTCAGGAACAGAAATGGTGGAAAAGGGTGTGGGATTGGGGGATGAATGTTAATATACATCCCTGGATCAGGATAATAACACATGTATTAGTAAGAATACAACTGGTATTGGCTCTGACATGGGGAGCAATGGCCTGTAGGTCTTGTAGGTAACGTATGTTACAGAAAGTGCTGACAATAGCAGGACATACCGACTTGAGAGGCATGTTATACTGGCTGAAAGAAATTGAGCAGTAGCCTCGGTTAAAAGGACTTTTCCAGCCAATTCTAACCAAAAGGGTGATTGTTAGAGATGCCCTTGGCTTAAGCAGCATAAAATGGCTGAAAGTGGTTTTCAGTTGACTTAAGATGGCTCAGGAAGAATTTAAGCTGAAACAGCTTAGGGTGGCACGGTGGCTCAGTGGTTAGCACTGCTGCCTCACAGTGCCAGGGACCCGGGATCGATTCCACCCTCAGGTGACTGTATGTGTGGAGTTTACAAGCTCTCCCTGCGTCTGCGTGGGTTTCCTCCAGGTGCTCCAGTTTCCTCCCACAGTCCTTGGCCATGCTAAGTTGCCCATAATGTCCAAGGATGTGTGGGTTAGACATGGGAAATGCAGGCATAGGGATAGGATTTTCTTTGAAGGGGCAGTGTGGACTTGTTGGGCCGAATGGCCTGTTTCCACACTGTAGAGATTCTATGAGGTGTTTCCATAGAATGCTATTTGAAGTTAAACTATAAGATAAATAGCTTAAGATTAAACATGAAGAGTCTTATGAAATGTATACATCGGGCCCTGTGGAACAAAAGCAGATGTAGCTGCTTGTGTAGAGACAGTTAGATGAGGTAGTTTTGAAGAATGCCAGTGTATAGAAGGGAAGGGTCTGATCACACATTCACATGCTGTTAACAGCCCCGGGATATAGTTAGATGTTACACAGCTGAATTGGGCTGAGTAACTGTATTTAAACTGTATGTTTCCCTTTATTCAGTGGAGGAGTTCCTGGCCTGCCCACGGTGTAAAACAATAAACTCTTTGATATTTGAAGTGGACCTGGGGGTCGAGGGATTCATATGGTCATTCCACGCCAACAGTTAAACTAATCTAAATGTCATCTTAATCTAGTTACCTTGGATTTACTCCTTCTATGAAGGCAGCGAATTTCTCTCACTTATAATTTACAGATTATGGAAGCTGTTGTTTCAGCTAAGATTCTTCCTGAGCCATTTTATGTCAACTGAGAACTATTTTATACTACCTCAGCCATGGGCAGCACCTAACAGGGCTCCAGATACAATCTCACCAGCACCTTGTACAGTTGTAGTAAGACGTCCGAAGATGTGCAGGTTAGGTGGATTGGCCATGCTAAATTGCCCATAGCGTTCAGGGATGTGCAGGTTAGGTGGGTTAGCCATGAGAAATGCTGTGTTACAGGGAGGGGCTAGGGGATTGGATCTGAGTGGGATGCTCTTTGGAGGGGCAGTATGGACCCGATGGACTGAATAGTCCGCTTCCATGCTGTAGGGATTCTATGATTGTAGGGATTTGATGATTCCCTACACTTATACTCCAAACCCCATGAAATAAGTGCCCACATTCCATTAGCTTTCCCAATACCTGCTGGGCCTGTGTGCCAGCTTTCTGTATTTCATGTACAAGTACCCTCAAAAGACTTTATGTTACAACTTTCCGCAGTTTTTCTCCATTTAAATAATACTGTTCTTTTATTCTCCTGTCCATTATGAACAACTTTACATTTTCCCACATTACAATCTATTTGCCAATATTTTTCCCACTTATTTAAACTATGAATATCTTTCTGTAAACTGTTTGTATCCATCTCACAACTTGCCTTTCTACTTATTTTAGTGTCGTCTAAAAATTTGGCTACAGCACATTCACTTCCTTCCTCCAAGTCATTAATACATATTCTAAACACATGGTCCCAGCACCCAACCCTGTGGAACCCACAGGATACAAGTTGCTAATCTGAAAAAGAACTCCTTATCCCCACTTGCTGTTTCCTGCCCATGAAACAATTATCTATCTACGTTAATATACTACCTCTAACACCGTAGGCTATTATCTTATGACTTAATCTTTTGCGAGGTACCTTATTGAACACCTTCTAGAAGTTCAAATACAATACGTCTACTGGTTTTCCCAATATCCAGTCTGGTTGAGACTTCCTTGAAAAACTAATAAATTAATCAGAAACAATTTTCCTTTCATGAAGCTATGCTGACTCTGCTTGATTAGATTATTTCCTTAACAATTGATTCCAGTTATTCCAAAGTGCTCCTTTGCAGGATTCTGAATTTATCCCAATCTTCACTGACTTTTGCTTCCTTATATGCCTTCCTTACAACTTGAATATTCTCCTTAACTTCCTTAGTTAGCCATGTTGGTTTATCCCTCTCTTAGAATCTTCCCTCCTTACTGGGATGTATTTTACTGAGTCATGAATTGCCTCCTTAAATGTCTGCTACTGTTTGCTGACTGTCATTTCTGCTAATCTATCCACCCAGTTCACTTTAGCTAATTCCATCCTAATTCCATTGTAATTTCCTTTATTTAAGGGAAACATGGTTGTTTCTGACCCAAGTTTCTCACTTTCAAACTGAATATTACATTCTATCATGTTATGATCACTACTTCCGCGAGGATCTTATACTCGAGAGGTCAATTACTAAACCTGCCTCATTACCCCTTAACAGTTCCAAGATAACCTGTTCTCTGGTTGGGTCCAATGATATATTACTCTAGGAAACACAGGAGCCCTAGCAAAACTGGAATCGATAGGTACCAGGGGGCAAACGCGCCTCTGGTTGGAGTCATGGCACATAGGAAGATGGTCATGTTTGTTGGAGATCAGTCATCTCAGCCTCAGGACATCACTGCAGGAGTTCCTCAGGTTAGTATCCTAGGCTCAATCATCTTCCCTCTATCATAAGATCAGAAGTGAGGATGTTCACTGATGATTGGGCAATATTCAGTACCATTCACGATTCCTCAGATACTTAAGCAGTCCATGTTCAAATGCAACTAGATCTGGACAATGTCCAGGCTTGGGCTGACAAGTGGCAAGTAACATTTACGCCACACAAATGCCAGGCTATGACCAACACCAATAAGAGATAATCTAACCACTGCCCCTTGATATTCACTGGTGATACCATCACTGAATCCCCCGCTGTCAACATCCTGTGGGGATTACCATTGACCAGAAACTTAACTGGACTTGCCACATAAACACAGTGGCTACAACAGCAGAGGCTAGGAATACTGTGGCAAGTAACTCACCTCCTGACTCCCCAAAGCCTGTCCACCATCTACTCACAAGTCAGGTTGCGACGGAGGTACTCCCCACTTACCTGGATGGGTACAGCTCCAACAACACTTAAGAAGCTTGATACCATCCAGGACAAAACAATCCGCTTAACTGGCACCACATACACAAGCATCCACTCCCTCCACCACCAATTCTAAGTAACAGCAGTGTGTACTATCTACAAGATGCACTGCAAAAATTCACCAGTGTAAGAGAATAAGGGGGTCAGTGCATCAGGGAGTGAGTGTGTAAATGTTTAAGGGGGTCAAGGTGTGAGTGTAAGGCAGTCATGGTGTGAGTGTAAGACAGTCGGGGTATGAGTGTAAGGGGGTCAGTGTGTGTGTATAAGGGATCAGTGTGTGTAAAGGGGTGAGTGTATGTGTAATGGGGTCAGGGTGTGTGTGTAACGGGGTGAGTGTGTCATCCTAACTGTCCAAAAAGTTGCCAGTTAATATTACTGAGGTGAATAATAAATCCACAGTCCCAATACCGTACAGGTATGTTGTCCCGACCAATAGCTATGGAGATGAATCTCGGCAGGAATGTAATAAGACTTTGGTAATTCACTGTGTTAGTTTGGACAGGAATAAAGTGAGTCAGAACATGATGATAGAGAGACAGAAATAAGAGGTGCTACCTTACCACTCCCAGCTGGGTCTGTTATAAACTCTGCTCAGTGAGTAGGAAGGGGGTGAATTTTTCGAATTTCAATCTCCGTATGCAGAATAAGCTGAGACTGAATTTCCCACATCATGACTGGAGAGACTTAATCCTTCCTGATTTTCAGCAGTCTCCACAGGCAGTTTGCTGCTGGTCAGATAGTAGAGACAAGAGCCCAATCTTTCTATGTATACACACAGCACTGACAGTACTTACTCCCTTTGTGATCACAGACTCCTCATCTTCCGTTATTCACCATGGCAACAGCAGCATAATGAGCTGTACGGAACCAGACTCTGAGCTGAACCCATGCACTCTGTCTGCTTTCACTGCAAGTCCTGACAACACCAATTAAAAACCACAATGTGCATTGATGTCTGGGCAGTAAGCTGCTGGTGTATACTCATCACATTTTTAAACTAACAGAACCTGATTTCATATTTCTACCTTGCAGCCCAGAGTCCCTGCTAGCTTCAGAAATCAGAAGATCCAAGATTCCCACTCAATGGGCCATTGTTCGACCACGGAGTGGAGACCCCCTGCCCATTCGGGAAATATGTTTTAACAAGCAAGGCAGGCAATGGAACCTAGCAACAAGAGATTGGGACACAGACACTGTGAGACAGTAGGACTGGCACTGTGAGACTGGCACTGTCAGAAATTGGTGACAGTGGCACTGTGGGAGTGAGAGGCATTGTCACTGTGGAGACTACCCAAAACACTGGTGCCAGGGAATGGGAGACATTGGCACTGTGGGAAATGGACACTGGCACTGTGGGCACAGAATATTTATTGGTACCTTGGGAGCCACATACACTGACACTGGTGGAGTGTGAGACATTGTCACCGTGGGAACGGTACACCAATACTTGGGGAGCAAGAGAAACCAATTCTATGCCAGTGGGCCTTTGAAACTATGGGTGTGGAAAGCAGGGACACTGGCTTTGTGGGAATGAGCATTGACATCGTCATTCTGTCAACACAAAATTATTCCTTTTTTAACATGATATTTGTGACATCTGTTTTGAGACTCACTCCCACTGTGGTTTCCAGTCTGTGTGTTGCTGGTACAGTGTGATAAACTATAATTGTGCCAGTGTTTCTAGGCTTACATATGTGTGTGATTACACCATCGGTCATTATGGCTTTACACTTGCAACCTACACCTGAGTCAACAGGATATAGTTCCATGGAAAAATGGTCATTACTGATTTGGCCCTGATTTCACTTTTCATTACTGTTTGTGTAAACAACTGTCACTTCTTACTTTCTTCATAAACCTCACCGAATCACCTGCGTCACTAATCAAAATGCAAATTACCAAGCACTACCAAGTAGTGGCCGTCCATTCTTATTCATTCAAACTGAAGTTAACTTTCCCCTGATCTGAATCCTGCAGCACAAAGAATTAGTGCATTGCTACAGTTTTATCAATTTCCCTTGTATTTTTCACCACTTTAGTCAGACCATGTTCAACAGACCTTCTTTTCTCAGCTAAACAAGTCCAACTTCCTCAACATTTGCCATTTAGGGTGGCAGAGTCGTTAGCACTGCTGCCTCACAGCGCCAGGGACCCGGGTTCGATTCCAGCCTCGGGTGACTGTGTGGAGTCTGCACATTCTTCCCGTGTCAGTGTGGGTTTCCTCCCGCAGTCCAAAGATGTGCAAAGGTTAGGGTGAATTAGCAATGTTAAATTGCCCCGTAGTGTCCAGGGATGTGCGGGCTAGGTGGATTAACCGTGGGGAATGCAGGGTTACAGGGATGGAATAGGTCTGGGTGGAATGCTCTTTGGGCGATTGGTGCAGACCCAAAGGACTGAATGCCTCTTTCCATACTGTGCATATTCTATGAATCTGTAATGTTTGTCGTGTTATGTCTCATGGTCGGTGGACCTTTAAGAGACATGCTCATGATATCATCACTGCATCATAGCATGCAACCTGAGGGGTAGACTCCATCTTAATCTGGATCACTTAGAGCATGACACTCCATTGAAAACCTGCTGCTCTCTGTTGTAATTGAACAGATTAATATTTGCCCAGATGCTTGTTTGCATGAGGAAAGTAATGCTTACATAATAATTAGCTGCTATAAACATATATTGGATTCTTCAATACCACAATATTCCCACCCGGATTCTATAGCTATGGGAGATAATATAAACACTGATGCATTAGATTCACACCAACTTCACTTCCTCATCTTGGATTGGACTGATCTCTTGCTTTTCAAGGGCAATAATATTTTGATACTGTTTAAAACCTTGCTTTCTTAATTTTAATCCTACTGAATTTAATGAGGAACGTTTCCAGTGAAGGGAAGCTCAGCAGCTGTGAGGCGGACAGAGAGAATCATCATCATCAAATATCTTGAACACAAGCATCATTTAGTAACCCAGACAGGGTGGGTACTTACCAGGCTTGTGACTTCTGCCTGGGCACAGTCTGCCTGTGCCACTTAGAGTGTGGGGTCAGATGGTAGATGAGCTGTCGACAAAGCTTCTCAGAGGATTTCAGGGGCTCCAGTTCCTGAAAAAAAAAAAGCAGTCATAGAGTCAGATAGCATGGAAACAGACCCTTCAGTTCAACTCGACCATGCTGACCAAGTTTCCCAACTAAACTAGTCTCATTTACCTGCATTTAGCCCCTATCTCTGTAAACCTTTCCTATCCATGTACCTGTTTGAATGTCTTTTAAATGTTGTAACTGTACCTCCATCCACCACTTCCTCTGCCAGTTCATTCCACATACAACCACCCTCTGTGAAAAGTTGCCCCTGCAGTTCCCTTTAAATCTTTCCCCTCTCACCTTAAAAATAACCCCTCTAGTCTTGTACCGCACACCCTAGGGAAAAGACCTTGGCTATTCACTTTATCAATGCCCTTCATGATTTTCTAAACCTCAGTAAGGTTACCCCTCAACCTTATTTATATCCATTAATGCAGAAAAGTGTGAGGTGATTCACTTTGGAAGGAGTAACAGGAATACAGAGTACTGGGCTAATAGTAAGATTCTTGGTAGTGTGGATGAGCAGAGAGATCTCGGTGTCCATGTGCATAGATCCCTGAAAGTTGCCACCCAGGTTGTTAAGAAGGCGTATGGTGTGTTAGGTTTTATTGGTAGAGGGATTGAGTTTTGGAGCCATGAGGTCATGTTGCAGCTGTACAAAACTCTGGTGCGGCCGCACTTGGAGTATTGCATACAGTTCTGGTCGCCGCATTATAGGAAGGATGTGGAAGCATTGGAAAGAGTGCAGAGGAGATTTACCAGGATGTTGCCTGGTATGGAGGGAAGGTCTTATGAGGAAAGGCTGAGGGACTTGAGGCTGCTTTCGTTAGAGAGAAGAAGGTTAAGAGGTGACTTAATAGAGACATATAAGATGATCAGAGGATTAGATAGGGTGGACAGCGGGAGCCTTTTTCCTCGGATGGTGGTGGCTAGCACGAGGGGACATAGCTTTAAATTGAGGGGTGACAGATATAGGACAAATGTCAGAGGTAGGTTCTTTACTCAGAGAGTAGTAAGGGCGTGGAATGCCCTGCCTGCAACAGTAGTAGACTCGCCAACTTTAAGGGCATTTAAATGGTCATTGGATAAACATATGGATGATAATGGAATAGTTTAGGTTAGATGGGCTTCAGATTGGTTTCACAGGTCGGCGCAATATCGAGGGCCGAAGGGCCTGTACTGCGCTGTAATGTTCTATGTTCTATGTTCCTACGCTGCAGGGAAAAAGGTCCCAACCTATCCAGCCTCCCTTCACGACTCAAACTCTCCAGTGCCAGTGACATCCTTGTAAATCTTTTCTGCACCCTTTCCAATTTAATAATTTTCTTCCTGTAGCAGTCTGGCCTGTTTATAGTGCAGCCCACCCTTAAAAATACAATTTTTCTTTATAATGATAAGAGACAGAGGTAACCAATCATTAAAATCTAAAAGGTACTAATATTTATTATCATAGAGGCAGAATCATTCAATATGTTAAAGCCCACGTTGGATAGATTCTTGATTGACTTAAGGGAATCAAAGGGCGTATGGGCTCTACAAGAATTAGAAGCACATTTATCAAATAGCAGAGCAGGCTTGATGGGCTGAATGGCCTCCTTTTGTTCCTAATTCATATACAGTACCTGTACGTATGACATGTTGATGGCACATTGACCTTTACCTTGAAGCAACTGGAATATAAAGTGATGTTACATTTGTATAGTCAGGCTCTAGCATGAGCTAGAGCACTGCACCTTGGAAACAGTACGTTGGCCTTGGAGGGGGGGGATGCAGTACAAATAGTTCCAGCAGTATACCAGTACTAAAAAGGGGTTAAATTAGAGACAGTTTGCTTGTATATCTGGCTCATACTCCCTTGAGCAGGGGGCTGTCAACACCGTCTCTCCCACCCCGACCACTATCTTACATCTTTCTCATACATCTCCCCCTGATGTCGATCAGGCTGGGTTTTTGCAACTTTCCCTTGAGTGAATATTTCTCTGATGCCTTGGTGATTAGATTGAAGAGAAGACTGCAGACAGGACCAGAACACTACACCATATAACTTCAACACGACAGTGCACGAGTTAAACTCCACTGACAGGTCTAGATAACTCCTCATTGTGTGTTAGTTAGGTATTCATCACTGTTCTGCAATGCCATCTGTTGACAGACTCAAATCCCATGGACAATTTGCCACCATACATTCTGTTCTCCATACTTCTGTCGATATTAGTTACAGACAGTGTACTTGTTTTTGGTTAAAAGTCCAATGTTTGTCTCCAATGCATTAAAAAGTAATACTGAACACAAGGTTTTTGTCATGACAATATAGAGTAATATTTACCACAGTTTTCCCATATACAAGCATTGCCCCCTGGCCCAGACTCACTTACTTCCATGATTTTAAATTACCTGTGAACTTTACCTTCTCTCTCATGTTTTCTTGATCCGGATACTTTGTCTTTGCCTATATCAGGAAATATGTTGGCCTGTGCCCTGATCTCTAGGACTGCCACTGTGTAAAACCAGTATTATTCCTCTACTGTCTATTGTGCAATTCCACATCTATCACCACAGTTTCCTTCAGATACCCACTGCCAAAACCTTTCACATGGAATGTATGAACGAGGCAGTGATCGGTTAGTGGATGATGGAGGGAGGGTTTTAGTCAGTGGATGAAGAAATGAAGGTTCTGGTCAGTCATGTTAAATATTGTTCAATATAATGTGTGTCTCAAAATGTTTTATTCTGGAATGAAATTGTAGCAATTAGTTTATACTAAGTAATCTGAGCTGGTATCACGGTCTCCATGGTTACAGCACTGAAATCTGGAGCGGAGAAAGTAGTTATTTGGCCTTTGCTGATTCCAAGGAGTAAGGAGGCCATGGAGACAGTGTTAATAAACTGGTGGGACAGCAGTATTGCTCTGTATAGGACCATCAACATGGTAAACGCATCCTGTGGCTCAGTACAATGGATCCCGAGGGGCTACCTCAGACCAAACTTAAACTGTAACAAAGTCCATTTAATCTGGTAAAACATCCCAAACACAACATGGCTGGAAATCTAACTCAATCTGGAGCAACAGGAGACTCTGGCGATAGAGAAATGAGAGCGTGTGTTTCACCCGCCTTGGGTAAGGTTCTCCAATTAGTTATGATTTCAGACAGGATACCTCAAATCAGTAAACTCCCAAGTGAGGAGGAGTGAACAGCCTCCTCTTCTTTATTCACCTACCCCCCACCCCCACCCCCACCCCCACGCCCCTCTGGTCAGAACAAGATTAATTAAAAAAAAAATCCCTTTCCTTTCCAGGCGATACCTTTCTCCCTGACAGAAAATGATCAAAGGAGCAATTTAAGCAGGTTTTCTTGAGTTAACAAAGACGGAGTTTATTAATTACTGAATGCGAGAACAATTAGTAACTCAACACACACATTAAGAAGAAAAGGCGATTCCCAACAAATCAAAAAGTTACAAAAAAAATGAATCAGTCTCTGAATTGCTCATGAAGAACATGTAGTCGAACATTGTGGCCATTTCAGTGGAGGTTACTTGTGGCTTTGATGTTGGTAGTTGAACAGGTTGATTCGAAGATTTTTAGCTTTGCAGCTTGGGTTGAGATTGTATCGTTCTGATTTCTTTTGACCCGGAGTCAATTCAAGCATTTCTAATTGTTTGGCTCTGTAGCTAGCTGACGTCTAGTACTCAGAATCCTTTTACCTGCAATATAGAGGTGACTAGGGATAGTTCTTCAACTGTGACCTTCAGAGTACATTAATGCTCAGACCTGGCCCAGAGGTACTACTTAATAAGAGCCCATGATGTTGGAGGTAGTATATGTGCATGGATAAAGGATTGGCTAACAAATAGAAAAGCTGGGATTAGGTGGGGGGGTTGGGGGGGGAATGCATTTTCAGGATAGCAACCTGTGACTAATGGAGTACCGCGGGGATCTGTGCTTGGGCCACAATTACTTACAATACATAACAATAATTGGAAGAGGAAAATGAATGTATGATAGTGAAGTTTACAAATGAGAACAAAATAGGAGGGAAAGTAAGAGGTGAGGATGACACAAAGACATTCCTGCTCATTTCTGTCTTAAATGTGCAACCCTTATTCTGAGATTATGCCCTCTGGTCCTAGACTCTCCCACAAGGGGAAACAACATTTCCACATCTACCCTATCAAGTTTCCCAGGATTTCAATATGAGCGCCTCTCATTTTTCTAATTTCCAATGAGTACAAGCCCAACCTACTCAATCTCTCCTCGAGACAAACCCACCATATCTGGAATTAACCTAATGAACCTTCTCTGGACTGTCTCCAATGCCATTTCTAAGCTAAGGCCAGAAAACTGTTCACAGTATACCAGCAGAGGTCTGACTAGTGCCTTGTACAGTGATAGACCACAGGACATGGAGAAATCCATGTACAGATACACACAGAACATGATGGGGAGGTCTATATATAATCCAAACTGTACTGCTGACTAAACCCTGTGGGATGAAACTGGGCATTCTGGTTTTTGGCAGGTGCTGAGGTGAAGGCTGGTATGGGGAGAGGGATGTTGTTCTGTGCATGCACTGGAGGTGGAATATTCAGGGACACGAGGGGAGGGCTATTGACTGGCAATACAGGTCCTGCTTGTCTGACTGATGTCACAGGATATCAATGTGGGCTCTTGGCAGCCATCTTTATTTGTTGGGAACACATACTTTTTATCTTTTAACAACTTGGGGCCAGCAGCATTGGGTTGGACTTGTAGCCAAGGTTCACAGAATTTTTTTTTAAAATTCATTCATGGAACAAGGGTGTCGCTGGCTAGAGCAGCATTCATTGCCCACCACTAATTGCCCAGATGGCAGTTTAAGACTCAACCACATTGCTGTGGGTCTGGAGTCACATCTAGGCCAGACCATCTAGGCCTGTCACTCACCTTCTTCGGGCATTGGATGTCACGGGCCAGGCTCATTAGCAAGTCGTGGGATATAGGGTCCACCAGGTTCGGGAAGGCTGTGTGTTTATAGAGAACATCATTCAGCGAGGAACCTTCCAGGCCCAGATCCTGCAGGAAGTGAAAACAAAGCTAATTAGCAACTTGCAAGATTGGCCAATCCAGTCACACAATTGCTGCCGATTTCTACCTGGATCATGGCGACAGTTGAAGCTTTTCACTATATTTTACTGTATTTTCGCTGCAAAATGCAAGCATCAATAAATCATTCAATTCAATTCAAAACCGTCTAATTCTGACCTCGTGTACAACCAAGGCCTACATTTGGAACGTACTCCTTATATCTTTACCCATTGCTCAATCTATAATTCTTCATTAGAAACCACCTTTATGATCAAACGTCTAGCATTCTGTCTGATATTTGACTTTCCCACAAACTTTGCTTGAGAACATTCAGGTAGAGAGGCTTTGATTCTTACGATGTTAAAGGCACTGAATGTTGTCCTACACACCAATGTTAGTGGACTAGCTGCTCCATTTATTGAATATGTAAATTTGTTTTAGGGCCAAATAATAAACAAACATTACAACTCAGTGTGGCAAAGGATCAGTACACACCTGAAAACATATTTACACCCTGGACAACATTCTCCATTACGGTCCCTTTAAGAATGAGCCAGGACATGCTCCAGGGATAATAGAGAGTAGCTGATGATCATTGTAGGCTTCTCTTCCACAATAAGGGGAGTACTCTTGTGGCACAGTGGTAATGTCCTTATCTCTGAATCAAGAGACCTAGGTTCAAGTCCCACCTACTCCTGTGGAGTGCGATAACATCTCTGAATGCACTTATTAGGGAAGTATTTCCACAACAAGGGGAGTTAGTTAGGAAAGGGAGAGTACTCTTCAGGCACAGTGGTACTGTTCCTATCTCTGAGCTAGGAGACATGGGTTCAAGTCCTACCTGTCCTCTAATTGGGTTGATTTAAAAAATATTTAGGAAAAGAGGGACAGCAGTCTGGAATTTATATTCAATGATAGAGTGTAACTAAACAGGAATCCCTTAATTCCAGCTTGGGCAAATCAATTACCAGCAATCTATCATGTTAGCACAGGATTTGTTTTGATCTCCAAGGGTGTGAAGATACATAAGAATTTTCTTTTAATAAAAGTACTGCTTCCAGAAGCCCCTCAGGCAAAACAGCAGAGTGTGATTGCAGGCTCTCAAACTACGATTAGCCCCCAGTTTCTGTTCCACAGTTGAGACATCCGTGCAATGGAAGAATGAGGCAGAAATATAGTTACTTCCCTTCATGAATAGGAAAGAAAGTACAAACTCGGCTTTGTCAAATCAGAAGTCAAGTATTTTCAGAACTAAATGTAAGTGGCTTGGATATCAAGATGTACTACAGATTCTATTACAACTTATGGACAAGATTTAGAAAAACAGACCATTTGCTGGAAGGTGTGGCTGATCTTCGATAAATTTAAGAAGATGGGCAACTAGTCCATAGAAGAATATATCATGGATTTTGACAGATTATAAAAGACTAAAACATGTTACCCTCGAAATTCCTGAGTGTGTGCTTGTGTTCAAATCATTGGATTGTGCACAAATCTCACATATGGATAAAATACATCAGGACTTCAACTTTTGGGAAGGTTTCTCTTTTCAAACAAATGATTGATGCCCTAAAGAAATATTTAGGATCATAGAATTCCTACAGTGGGGAATCAGGCCATTTGACCCATCAAGTCCACACAGACCCTCTGAAGAACATCCCACCCCCTACTCTATCCCATGGATAGTTAGCATTTCCCATGGCGAACCCACCTAGCCTGCACATCCCTGGATGCTATGGGGCAATTTGGCATGGCCAATCTACCAAACCTGCATATCTTTGGACTGTGGGAGGATCCCAGAGCACCGGGGGAAACCCACACAGACACAGGGAGAATGTGTAGACTCCACATGGCAGTCGCCTAAGGGTGGAATCGAACCCAGGTCCCAGGCGCTGTGAGGCAGCAGTGCTAACCACTGGGCCACTGTGCTGACTGAACAATTGCTTGCGGGAACAATCATTTCCAGCTCCCTTTCTGTCACAAAGTGGAAGTTCTGCATTGACACAGAGACTGGAGGAGATGGTGTGAGGAGACTCATTATTTTAACAGATTTATTGAGAAAACAAAATACTAGATTAGGATGGGAGCTGATAGCGAATTTCCCTTCGCACTGCACAGTGAATGACTGGGTGGTGTTTTTGGTATGAGTCAAGGTATCGTTCGACAAGGAATTTCTGAAATGCAGAAATCAAATATTCAGAGTTGGGCCAAAGGGCTTTTTTCTGAGCTGTATGCCCCTTTGATTCTAAAACATAATACATACAGTTCTAATGAATATGGTGGGAATGAATGGCATGGAAATATTGTCTTAGTTGCTGATAACCTAAGTTAAGGCATGGGATCACTCTCTTTCTTCTAAACTCCAGTGAGTAGAGTCCCAACCTGTTTAATCTTTGCTCATCAGATGATTCCTCTGTACCAGGTGAATCTGCTCTGAACTGCCTCCAGTGAAATGAGATCCTTTTCTTAAATAAGGGGACCAAAAGTGCTCACAGCACTCAGATGTGGTCTGACCAGCATCTTGTACAGTTGCAGTGAGAATTCCCTACTTTCACACTCCAAACCCCTTGAAATAGGGGTCAATATTCCATTAACTCAAAGCAGATCCTGCAGTGTTTCAATTGCATTCTGGTGGAAATTCCTTTGAGCACCCTTATGATTCATGTAGACAATTATTAAACAGATTAGGACTCTTCTGCACACTTAAATAAAGATTTGTATTCTCTATCTTTTCCAGTTTCTTTCGTAAATATAAGACCTTCACTTGTTGATTGTAACAGAATATTTTCTGCAGCTAAAAATTCACAGTAATCTTTAGTTTTGAATATTTCATCAAAACAGACTGTCTCCCTTATTTAAGGTATCTCTTTGTTCTTATACAATTGACACAACTAAGGGCCAAGAGCTGAAGAAGAGCTTAATTAGAAATGAAGCTTCAGGTTTTCTGTTACAGCCAGTAAAGTAGCCACAACATCCAAGAAATCTCAAATTATTGAGGTAAGAAGAGACACTCAATCACGTGACATGCATGTCACAGACTTAGAGCCATTGACGTCTCTATTTCATACAGTTGTGAACATAGCCCAGTCCATCACACAAACCAGCCTCTCATCCACTGACTCCATCTATACTTCCCGCTGCCTCGGAAAGAAACCAACATAATCAAAAACCCTTCTCACTCCGGTTATACTGTCTTCCACCCTCTTCCATTGGGCAGAAGATATAAAAGTATGATTACACGTACAAGCAGATTCAAGAACAGCTTCTTCCCCGCTGTTATCAGACTTATGAACAGACTGCTCAAATGTTAGTTCTGATATTTCCCTTACTGTGGTTGTAACACTGTATTCTGCGCTGTTCTGCTATCCTGATGCACTCCGTATGGAACAATCTGCCTCTATAGCATGCAAAACAACACTTTTCACTATAGAATACATGTAACAACAATAAATTAATCGATCAAATTCTTTGTAATTGTTTCTTTCATAGTCTGTCAGGCTTGATGATATTGCGTGACCATTAAAAGCCAGGCTTTTTGTTCAAGAATCTCCTTCCACTAGCTAGACTGGTCTAATTCTTGTTCACTTGTAATATGTTCGATCTCACTGTGCTCAACTTTCAGCTTTTTTGCCACACTTCAACACTAGAAGCTTGAGAATTTGGAACTCGACTTTGTTTCACAAAGAAAGTCCTTGTGGCGATTTCATGGATTGCTGATGAGACTCAATTGCAATACAAGCAAAACACAACAGATGCTGGAGATCTGAAACAAACACAGAAAAACTGCTGGAGAAACTCTGCAGGTCTGGCAGCGTCTGTGGAGAGAGGAACAGAGTTAAAAGCTTCAAGTCCGGTGTGATTCTTCTCTGGTCTGACACCTCACCAGAACTGAAGATATAACTAAAGGAGACCACTACAGATTGAAAGTTGAAACAGAGCAGTTCTGACAGTGTGTTTCAGATTTATCCTCTTCCCATCAACTACGTAGTTAGTATTTCTAATATTTCTTGTTTTCACATCATGTGGAATATTGGAATCTGCCTTTAAACAAAGCAGGATACTCTACTGAAAATAGTTAACATTAGGGGCTGGGTAGTGATCGAGAGAGTCTGGGTTTATCTGCATTTCAGACTGTAAGCCTTAAAGTCTCCAGCTGTTCATACCTCGGATTGATGTCTGGCCCTGCTCAAACTCAGATCGTAGGGATTCCTCAGAAATTCCTGCGAACTGTCACCCTGACTGAGAATTACAAATGCATGGGAAATGAAAAAAAACACCCTGCTGCAGATCTCCTGATGGCAGTAGAGCCAGGATTTGAATCTGTCACACTGGGTTCCCATTGTTCATCATTCTGAGAAGAGAGATCACCAGTCTATGAAGCTCATTCAACACAGTTGGTGAGAAAAAACCATTGACAGTATCGACAGACACTGGAGAGAGACAGAAAGAGAGAGAAACAGAGAGTGAGAGACAGTGAGAAAGAGACACGGAGGGAGACAGAGACAGGAAGAGAGAGAGACAGAGATGGACAGAGAGACAGAAACAGAGAAAGACAAAGGGAGATACACACAGAGACAGAGACAGTGACATGAGAGAGACAGAGAGAGATAGACAGAGAAACAGTGAGAGAGAGATAATGTGAGAGGGAGAGAAAGAATAAGAGACAGAAAGAGAGTGAAAGAGAGAAGACAAGAAGTTTGGAAGGGTGGAGAGGCAAAAGATAATGGGGATGGGGAGAAAGAGAGAGTGAGATAGAAGCATTAGGGAGAGAGTTGAAAAGAACTAGGAAAGCTGGGGGTGGGCACAGGACAAAAGAAAGAGAGAGAGGAGCCTGGAGAGTGTGAGGGCATTAGGATGAGGAAAGAATGACTGGAAAGAGAATTAAGGGAGAAGGAGAGAAAGAGAGTTGTAAGATTTGAGAATGTTGGAACAGTGTTTTGGAGGGGCAGAGAGAGAGTGATGGAGAGAGAAAGTGATAGAGAGAGACA